CCTGAATCAAATGTGCCTACGATATTCGTGTATACGCAAATATTCAACGACCTTTGGTATAAATTGATTGCTCTCAGCAATATCGATTTTTATCGTTTATCGGAAACAAATTCAATTCAATTTATCCTTATGCATATATATATAGATATACATCTATTGGCAAATACTTTCCTCTTATTCATTTTATACAAAATTCGCTTGGAATTTTCTTATTTTATTTTTTGTTGGTCATATCTTGTAATTTGTATTTTTTTCAGTCCTGGAAATGCCCGTTAGCGGCAAAATTTGGTCTGTTCTGACCTCTTGATTGATTTTGTATCCAATATGTATCCATCTTTTTTTTTCAAAAATATTTATTCCTTCCCTTATTCATTCTGGGAGAAAAACTGTTGACTCGATTTGATATTGAAAGGAGTGCAAGTCTGTGTAAAACGTTTCATTAAATCACATGTGAGAGCTGCCTTTTTAAGCTCAGCTAAATCATTTGCAGAGTATGTTTTCTAGTGTGTCCTTAAGTTTATCCAAATACCGATCCCAACTACTCACTGCAACAGCATTTGCAGCAACAACAGAAAGAATCACCAGGATAACGATATGGAAAATGGGTGGAGGGCAAATCGAAGCGTGCCATTAAAAAGATATAGAGTTCGTTTACTGCATAATGCTGGAATGTCGATGTCAAAGCAGGGGTGGTGGGCGGTTGACTGGTGTCACAGTGGGCGTGGTGCTTCAAAGTGTAATTTAATTAAGAGCCCCACCAAATGGCGACACTAAATATGCGCCACACATAAAAGAAATGGCAGAAACAAAAATCAGATTCACTAGACGGCGCCAAGGGAGATGCGCGTCTATGCGAAAGCGTGGGGCCAGAGTACTAAGGACTAAGGACAAAGGACATTCACTGCAGCACAGCCAACGCCACTTAATGAGTTGTTTGGCGTCGTGCGGGGCGTCTAGGGGTAGGGCTAGGGAAAACAGACTGTGTGTAAAAAAATAGAAACGGACTCAAATGCATTTTTATGTTTAACTTTATGTCTTCAGTGTGAAATGCTGAAAGTGTAATTGGCCGACTCGAGTACTTGGTAAATTTGCATGGCACCCATTTGGAATAGTTATGTTTAAGTGGCATAAATACCAAATGGTTAATCCTCATGTTAAACTAGCTAGCAAAGCGGAGCACAAAGTAATATTAACAATTAAAGTACATTTGAGCAAAGAGAACAAATTTGAACATAAAAACAAATTAGTTTTGAGTCAAATTACCCAATTAAAATATAAAGGGTACTCCTGATTATTCTTATTAATATTCGTATTTAAAGGATGAAAGAGAATTTGGGAATTTTCATCTATAAAAAGGGTTCAGCTCTAAAGTATACTATAAAAGGAACAGCTCGAGCATAAACTCATGTAAGGCACATTCAGATCGGATCTCCGATTTTTAATTTTTAATATATTCCTTCTATAACGTTATAATTAAGCTTTTTTTTATTTAGTTTTAGCAAAGCATTCATTCTAAGAGCAAGCTGGTTTCAATAGCTCGAGCATTAACTCATTTAAGATCGGATCCTGTGCTCCGATTTCTCACAACCCAACCACATAAACTTGCAACACCGACAAACAACAGTTCATTTACACTACCAAGTGACAGTCGCCATTCAAAAGGGACTGACCCTAATCCCTTTTGCCGCTCACTTACCTCGATACATTGGAAACTCGCCATCGCTGTGACTGTGACAGAGCATAATCGGAGAACGGCAACGCGAGGCGGCGACCATGATGCCCGTCTTGTGGTGTCCGGCAACAGTCAGTTTGGTGGCCGTCAAGTGGGTGGTGGACGCTGATGATGATGAGCTGCTGCTCGCCGTGGCCACGTTTGATGGCAACGGATTAGACGCTTTTAGCTGTGCTGCAGTCAAAGCGTTGCCAGCAGCTCCGCTGGCTGGCGTCATGGTGGCACAAACGGAATAGGAGCGCGCCACATGGCTCAAGGTGCGACGCCGTATAGTCGCGGCTGCCATTGTTGTTGTTGCGGCATTCGCGCGATAATGATGCTGCGGCGTCGAGTACTGGTAATGGTGGCCCGACTGTTGCTGCTGCTGCTGCAACTGTTGATAGGCGGCGGGTGCACCGCCTAGCGACAAATGATGCTGCAGCGGCGGATGCGGATGAGCATGAGCTGCCGCGTACGGATTATGCGTAGGCGGATGCTGTTGCTGTTGCTGCTGTTGTTGGTGTTGGTGTTGTTGAAAGGGCGGATGCGAGTGCTGATGCTGCAGCAGCTGGCGTTGTTGCTGCTGCTGTTGCTGTTGCACGGCGGCCATTTGGAATTGCTGCTGCAGCTGCTGCAACAGATCATGCTGCAGTTGCTCATTGCTCTTGGCTGCCGGGGTCTCTTGGGTTTGGGTCTGCTTTTGCTTCTCCCAGGGTCCGTTGCTGTCGCCGCCGTAATCCAGCTTGAAGGCGTTACACTAACACACACGGACACTCACAGATTGCGCCTAGCTCATCGGTGGCAGGTTTGTTGCACTAATTGAGGCGCCGCACGTCGCCAGCCAAATGGGGCAACATTAAAACGCGTTCGCGTCTGCCAACAGCTGATGCATTCGGCCAGGATTGTCACTTATTTATGGATCGCTCGCTCGTGTGAGGATAACTATGTCGGTCATACAACAGGACCTACTTGCAAACTTTCATCAAATAGCAGCACACGCGAGCACACATACACACACACATATATAAGCATATATAAACACACAAACACAAGCACACACACACACAAACTGTGGCTTTATCAAGGAGACAACGCGTTTACGTTCACATCAACCGACAACTCGACCAGTTACGTTGGGCTTAAGTACAACGACTGATTGCACGAAGCTTTGTTATCCTGTGCAAAAGCTGCCAGAGCAATGCCAGCACAGTCAAAAGCACAGTCAACCTGGAGAGCCAGAGGCTGCAGCAAAGAGAGCCAGAGACAGAGAGAGAGCGAGAGAGCGCGCGCTGGCAAAAAGCACAAAACTGGACCAACAGCAGCCTGTGTGTGTGTGTGTGTGTGTGTGTCTGCGTGCATGTGTGGGGGAGAGAGAGCCTGGTCTGTTTATGAACATTCTTTGCATGCAACGAGCGTATGTTTTGCCAACTCTTCCACTTTGTTTACCGTAAAAGCGTACACGAAAAAAAGTAAGACAACCGACAACACGACAGCTATGAAAAGTGTGGCACAGTTCAAGGCGCACCACAGTGGGGCAATATCGAACAGAACTAATCAATCGTAAAATCAACTATATTTTTTTTAAGTTTACAATTAGATTCAGTTTTGATGCATATCTATTTGAATGCAGAACGCCCTTCTATGCGATTTTCATAAAATTTAGCACTTGACTAATTTACAATCTGATTTCGTGCTTTTCTTTGCATCTCTCACTCTCTTTCGCTCCCTGACTTTCTCCTACAGATTATCTTCTCTTTCTATTTCTCTCACTCGCTTTGCCTCTTTCTACTACAACTTCCTCCTCTCTCTCTCTCTCTGTCTCCCCCTTTCTTTCGGTCTATCTCTCTCTCTCTCTCTCTCTCTCACTGGTTTCCTGGTTTTATCTGCCTTTTACTTCATCATATCATAAAGCAATACTAAAACAACAGTGAGACCTGCAACAATTGAGTTAAAGAGAATCGCATAGAAGGGCGATATTCAACAGAATCTCTTGTACTAATTAATTATTTTTAGCTAAGCATCAAACATGGTTAATAAAAATTGAAATTAAACCTGAAACATCATTAAAAGAAACAAAACCAATTAGTCCAACCGCTTTTTCCAAAACCCAAACAAAATATCTCAATTGCATATAGATAAGATAAGACAGCTAGTGCGTCATACTTCATAAATTTCGCAATGTTATCAAAAACTTCCAGAAAAAGTAATCTTCAAAAGTATTTAATAACGAATATATGTGCCCAATGCATGGTGCCAGTCATTGGAGCCAAATTCACCCATTCCCGACCCACTGAGTAAACCATTCAAGCACGAAACACAACATTCTGAGCGCTGGGTTCATTCACCCAAACCAAGACACAACGTGAAGCTCCAGTCAGGCAGCGTAAACAGCTGCTCCTGGGGCCAGGACCCAAACAGATTTCAAGAGCAGCTGCAAAGCTCTCAAAAGCTTTTTCCCCACCAAGAGCTGCACGGAGCGGGCAGAGAACAAAAGCGTAACCCAAAAGAAAACCTGGTTTCTGTGTTTTTTTCTTTCATATTTTTTTTACGAATACGCAACGTCGTATTCGTAATTTATTTATGTATTTGTCACTGGGTCTTTTGATAAAGTTGTTGCCAGATAATTTCGATGGTGCCCACAGGAGGAGGAGCACACGAAGGTGGGGCCTGGCTCGCCCCACTGATAAGGACGCCAAGAAAGTCGATATCATAATACAAACACATAACAGGCGCACAAAAATGCACAGCAAGCAGCCCAGCATCAAATGGTATGTTAACCATATCAGAATTGGCTCTGGGATGGCATGGGAGCGTGGGGTGGGATGGGTGGTTGGTCTGGTGACGCCCGCTGGCAGGAGGCGGCTCTTTGCGTGGGTTGTTTGGTTTGCCGTGCGCAAACGAAAAAAAAAAAAGAACGAACGAACTGCTGAAACTGAAACTGTACTTAAGTGTGTGTGTGTGGGTTGTGTTGCTTGTTTCGATTTCTGCAGTGCTGTGTTTAAGGGTCGACTACTTTAGGGGCGTTCCATAGAGTTTTGGGCAACAAGTTGCATTCGCACTTACCGCTTATATCACGATCATAGAGGTAACTGCTGGCGCTGCTCTTAATGCTGATGCAGTCCAATGGCGTTGGCTCGAAAATGTTGTACGAATCGCAGGAATTGGCGCCGGGCGTGGTGGGCGCCTCACCAGCTGCCAAATAGAAAAGTTGGAACAAAAAATAAACAAAATTTACCGACTCAAATATACCCAATACATAGTCTTTAATTTCAATGACTTAAGTTTTTACCTTTTTATCTTATTCCATACATAACAGACTTATAAGGAAATGATCAAAGTACAGTCTTAACCTTAAAAGCTTCGTATGCTTACATTATATATCTTATAAGGAACACTCACTTAGTTTAGTTAGTTTCTTAAGAACCACCCGGACTTCCGTTGCAAATTAAAAAAAGTTTAAATATCGCCCTACTATGCGATTCTCACAAATTCAATTTGGCAAGTTTATTGCGTTTAAATTTTGTAACAAATTCAAATTTGATTCACATAATATATACGAAAAACTCTTGGGTTATTCAGATATAAAGAGTCATGATATTATTTAAAAGCTTGAGTATTCAGTACTTTAAGCTTAAAGCATATGTACCAATACTTTCGGCTTTCACATATAATTTAAAAAGTAACAGTATCGAATATGGTCTAAATTAATGTTGACGACGGTCTTTGAACTGTTTTTTATAGTTGCAAAGCTTCCAATTCACATTTGCCAAAATGTTAAGCTGATTCCTGTTCAGATGCTTAAAGATCTCATCGTACACTTCGCTGGGTAATCCGAGCAGCGAGGGATGCGGATGTAGATCTAAGGCCATAAGTTGCTGGGCCCGCATCGGCTGAAAGAGATTTTGGCGCAACTGTAACGAGAGCTCGTCCAGCTTGCAAAAGCGCTGATAAATCGGCTCTAGTTGCACATTGAGCACAAAACGTCCAATGGACAGACAAGTGCTAAAGCCACGCTCCTTTGACGGCGCCACCGGGCTAAGTGTTACCACCATCAGATCGCCCAGCACAATGGCAATAAGACTTGACTGTAGCGCAGTCATCAGGGGCGGCTCCTCCGCGCTTTTGCTGTCCAGCAAGGTGCGTAAGAGCATCCGAAACGCCGTGTCCTCGAATTCCCTGGTGTAGTGTGTCGGCAGATGGCTAAGCAGACGCACATTAAAGAGATGAAAACAACCAACCGCCGGCACTGGCTTCAGCAGTGAACGCTTCTCCAAATAGCTTTGGTTCTCCACAAATCCGGACTCCAATGCGACCAAATAGATGAGCAGCATTAGCAGCTCGGCGGCAGATAGCTTGCGATGGCTAAACAGGCTCAGCATTTCGCGCAGATGCAGAGGCACCGCCTCCGGCGTGGCGTTCTCTAGACATAGCGGCTCCTTCTTCTTTTCCTGCTCCGTTTGGACTTTTGATTCGGACGCCGCTGTAATGAGGCAAGGTTTGGCAATGAGAACACCATGTGCATTTTGTTGTTGTTGTTGTTGGGGTTGTTCTTGCATCGGTGTTGTGTGTATGTTGTTAGTTGACGAATGCGGTGGATTTTGAGAGTCTATGAGAATTACAGAGATTAGTTAACATGTGCAGCAAACAAGTATAGCAAAAAAACCAACCTGCGGTGCGTGTGTGTGTGTCATGCGTTACCAAATTGGAATCTACGTGCATTTAACTAATTTTTTTTTTTTTTATTAATTTTCTTTTTTTTCTTCTGAATTTTTTAATACATTAAAATTGTATACACTACAAATAAACACAAAACTCAAAGGTGCTTATTTGTACAAAAGTTGAGCGCGTGTCGTGACACGAAAAAAAAACCAAACACGACGTGTGCGCGATCAAAACAAAACAAAACACGAACCAAGCCGTTTACTTAAAACAAATATATACATAAATAAAGCACTAAAGAAATAAACTATTACTTATCAAAGTTACAAATTGTATAGCTTAACAGATTCGTGCTTGCTTACTTCCCATCAAAAATTGTTACACAACACTAAAAAAGAATAACTCAAGTAACAAACTCGAACGAAGGCACAAAGCGTGAGCGCGAAAAATTAAAAAAAAAAATAACAACAACAATTTGCCAAAAAACTAACATAAATTGTGTGCAAACATAAGCAATACACAGCAGTGAATATTATATATATTAATTACACAACAAAACTTAAATAATTACATTTTTAATTTTTGCTTCATTTTTCCTTATATTTTTTTTTTTTTTTTTAATTTTTGCTTTGTGCGAATATTTGTCAACATAAATTGATGGCCTTATTAGTCAGCGACATAACATAAACTAAACCAAATGACATACAAACTAATAATTAATATTAATAAATTAAACTATTTGGTAGCGATAATATTGTTTGTTTATGTATTTTAATTAACAATACCCAGCTAAAGGCGCTTACTAACCTGTTGATGCATCGGCTGCGGCTGACGGCGCATTTGACGATGACGCAGCCTTTTCCGCTGCTGCTTCTGGCGCTGCTGCTGGCGCTGCCTCGCCGGCGTCGGTGTCAGCGGCGTTAGTCTTTTTCGTTGTTGAATCGGGCATTATACGTTATGTGCGTATTAATTTCGTGTGCATTACGTTATTTTTTAATAAATTTTCCTCGAATAATTTGAAAATCATTTGACTAAGACTTGAACGCGTTCTGCGTTCCCGACACACACGTTCACAAATTTACAACAATGACCAGTGCACTTTAGAGCTGCACTTAATTCGCGGCGAGTTACTTTAGGCAATTACTTGGCGTTGTTGCACGGGGCGCCCGTTCGAGTTTGTCATGTTTTCAAATTATTTTGTTATAAATAATGCGACACAATAATACACCGAAATAGTTAGGTCTTTAAAGTCCACTTGTCTTATTGAAACTATCGATACTATCGATTAATTCGCTCAGCTATCGAATAGAACAGCTGATCAGTGCTGCCAGCCGCCGCACAAAAGAAGTAGCCGTATCGGATGTAAAAAATTTTGCTAAAATAAATTGAATTAGCTTTATAAGCTAAAATAAAATAAATAATTACGCGAGCACTTGTCACTTGGAAGCAATATGTATTTAAATTAATTAAAAAACTCCACTGTTTCCGGCTGACGATCTATAAAATAGTTCAATTTGGTTAGAAAGAAGCTGAATTGGCAACACTGCAGCTGAAATGTAAATAATAAATAAACAAATAATTGTTAGGCAGTAATGTTCACATACGTATATAGTTAATCGTACGCATTTTGTAGTATCATTTAATTTTATATGCATAATTGCACAGCATACGAGTTTATCTTGTTGCGACCAGCATACTAGCCTTATATATTTATCGCATACTCGCGTTGCGCTCATCTCTAATTGCCGGCAAAAACTTTGTTTGTGTAGCAATAGCAACTGCATTGGCATGACTTCCGTTGAGGAAAATGAAATGTTTATGGTTAAAGAGGCGCAAAGCGTGCGCAAAAGTGATCCCAGCGCGGCCAAGGCATGGATTTTAACTGCCAAGACGCTTTATCCGAATGCATTCAATGTGCAATACGAGGCCTACCTGCTGGAGCGCGACAGCAAGAACAGCGAGGAGGCGGCCAAGTGTTTCAGTGTCATGTAGGTGGCAGCCAAAACCAGTAAAGAAATCACTATAGTATTAAATAAACCCAATCTTACAGCGCCAGCAACTTTACCAATCAGCATGCGGAGCTGTGGCAGGAGGTGAACGCTCTGACCAATGCGCTGCGCAACGAGACGGAAAACACGCCGGAGCAGGAGTTCTATGTGAAGATGTACAAGCATCTGACGCCGGAGGTGCAGCACAATATATTTGTGCACACGATCAGCAATTGTGGCGATAATTTACAGCAGTGCATACACAGCTATATACTTATGTTCAACAAGTTCCCCAAAACGGCGGCAACGCATGCGCCACGTTTGCTGGAGATGCTCGCCGAGGGCATGAAAGCCGATCCGGATGTGTATCAGCGCATGCTGGTCGAGGAGGTGCTGCCTTTGATACAGAATAAGCCGCCAGAGCTAAATCCGCTGCTGGCCTGCCGCCTGTACACTAACTCCCTGGAGTATTGTCTGCGCCAGATCATGGACGATGAGAAGTGCGACACAACGGAGGCATGGAAGAACATATTCAAGGTGCTCATGCTTTGCGGCCAAATGATGGGCTGGGAGGCCTTTCTGCCCTTCAGCAAGCAGGTCAATCAGAATGTCTATTGGGACAAATTGGTGAAAATTCTGCGCAGCAGTCCAGCTGGCAGCTCCCAGGTGCTGTTCTATGCCACCACGCTGTTTATTTACTCGCTCCACGGCTACATACGCAAGCTGCGCATAGAAGATGCCGATGTCAATCATGTGCTTGTGGAGGGCTTTATTGATTGGACGCCGGAGGGTGGCGAAGTGCAGAGCATGGACTGGACACCGGATGGCGGCGAAGTGCAGAGCATGGAGCCGCCGAAATTTTCGGCAACCACAGCAATAAGCCAAGAGCTATCCGAAGCCTTTCTCCATGCCGCGCGCTGCTGGCAGCTGCTCAACACAGAACAGTTCCAGCGCGATTTCAGTCAGCTGATGTTGGCGCTGCCGCTGGCGCCGTGGATATCGCGCTTCCTCTTCGATCTGGCCATCTACTTCGGACATCGCGATGAGGCCAACAAGCTGATGGCCGACATGACCGCTCAGAGCACCCTGGTGCAGAGCCTGCAAATACTAAGCTTGAATCTAATGCAGGGCAGCATGACGGTGAGTGAATCCTCTAGAGAATCGATTAGGTTTTTTCATTCTCCAAAATTTTGCTTCAGCTTCAGGGCTTTCAGTGCATACTCAAGATACTCGCCGAGCTGCCCGCCACCAGTGGCCAGCTATTGGAGAACATCAGTCTGAAGAGCCATAGGCACATGATCTTTCTGCCGCTTACCAAAATAGCGCTCATCCAGTATTGCACACGCGCCATAACCAGTCGCCTGAGCCGCATGCTTTTCGAGCCCAACTGCTCGGATCGGCTGTTGGCCGATCTGTTGGCACTGCTGCAGCTGAGCCCCGACAAGGATGTGCTGCTGAAGCAACACATTTTCAATCTGATCACGCAACGCAAATCCTTCAATCTGCACATCCTGTCCAACTATATCATTGCAACGGACATCATCGAGGAGCTGGCCTTCATATGGAACTCGCAACAGCAGGACGATGCCAATTTTGAGCTAACCGGTTCGCCCACCGGTAGCAGCAGCAGCGGTGCACCTGGCGCCACAAACGCCGCAGGCGCTGCACAGCCACGACGCATTGGCACACGCGGCGCCGACAAGGGCGCCCGCGATGAATTCAAGTCCTTGATACGCCAGCAAATCGCGCGCTGCAACGAAAATGTGCCCAATCTGGTTGCCAATTTCATCACACAAGAGCAACTGACGCTGGCGCAGCACATCTTTGGCATTGCGCCGCCCGTCGAAACAATTGTCATCAAGTGAAGCGAATCTTGCGTGGAGTGGAACGAAGTTGTTTCGCACTTGAAGCTTTTCATGTATTGTAAATATAAATGTTAAGATAGATCGATATATTTATATATATTATTGATTATGTAGCTCGTAAGAAATTGAAGGAAATTTAATTGCAATGTAAAATGTATGCTAGATATATGAAATCCCCGAAAAGAAGCGACTAGCTTTGCACTTAAATCAATTTTATTTTAATTGTCTAAAAATGTTTACAATTTCTGTGCCTATAAAGCCGAATGTCTGAGGCTTACGCAAAGTTCTTATATCATGACATATGCTTTTACGTATCTATAAAAACTTAACTCGCCTGGATTTAAGGAAAAATTAAATAGATTTAAGTGCTCTAGTCGCAAGTAGCCGACTATGAGATACCCTGAGGACAGCGCTCAGCTGCTTTTCTTCTGGAATTTGTTTAAAGAATCATAACAATTGTTTTAAAATTGAGACTAGTTTCCAGTTGAAAAGTTGTTTTTATTTTAATTACAACATTTAATAACATAAAATTTATAACAAATGTGAGATGTTTCTTTAATCCTATACAAAATAGGAAAAGAGAGATTCTTGTGCAAAGACTTAAACTATATTTCGATTGCCTACTTAAGATACCATATTTGAAGATAATAAACATTTAAGAACAAATTAACAAATACAACAGTTTAATTTGGAACATTTTGCACATTGCTTTCATTGGTTACAAAATATATAGAGTTATATAGTTATTGATATATAAATTGTTGCTAATAGCCTCTCGCTAGCGTTATGCAGAAATTTACGTACAATAATACAAAATAAATACGATGACTAACAAATTTGTTTGTTAATTTACTTATATCACATAAATTTAATAAAATGCTATCAATTATGTTTTGCTTGTTGTCAGGGTATTAGCTGATTGTGGTGCTGTTCCGGATGGATTTCGGTCCGCAATCGGCGCATCCTTTGAATTGGACGCAACATCGATGGGCAGATCGATGCCGAAATCATGCTTCATATAGGACATAAGCACATTGTAGACTGCCGTGCAGACATTGACAAAGGCCACACGATATTTGGTATCCAGATATCGAAAGTTGATATATTGCGCCGCCGGCCACGTTAGCCAGTCCATCAGATAGATGTATGGAAATTTGGCAGTTAACTCCTTGTGCGTTGCCTGCAGCGTTTGGCCCTCCAGATAGCAGACCGTATAGAAGAATATCAGTATGCAGGCGGGCGACATGAACAGCTGATCGATGAGTATCTTATTGACGATATTCCGAAATGAACGATGCGGCATCACGCGATCCATCCAATTATAGACAAAATGATGCAGCGGTCCCTGCAGAGCGCCAGCGACGAACATGCGATAGATACGCTCGCCATCATAACGATCCTGATTGCGTAATCCGTGACGGTATTCGTACTCCTGGGCGATGACATCGCCCACGGCCATCAGCAGGCCGGAGCCGAGCACATTGGTGACCAGCAGATATTTGCCAAACATTTTGCTCCACACCTGCTTGGACCAGCGCAACAGCATGAATGTGTTCGCCTGGCTGGCCTCGCCCTTGCCGTGTGTCTGGCGCCTGGCAAGCATTCTGCCCACGCTGATTACATCAGATCTGGTCGCATTGCAGCTCTTTGTCAGCGTCGCAAATGCACGGCGTATGCATTGGTGTCTACTGTGGTGCAGCAGGGGCTGGTACAGGGCCGTCCCTCTGGCCGCCACCTCAAGCATGCTGTTCTTTTTTACAGTGTGCTCGGCACACCGGCTGAGCAAAAATTCAAAAAATAACGTGCGTTCCGGACTACTTCCTAGTTTGTCTTTTTTTTTTTTTGTTTTTTATTTCACGTTACGAATTCGTGTTTGTTTTGCTTATCGGTTTGACATAACGGTGAACGGGTGGTTGAGGGTAACGGGCGATGTTTCCATCAACGAGCATCAATGCGCGTTACCAAGCAGACCTGAGCACTTATCGATAACTTAAAAAACGAGATATTCTTGATATTTGGCAACGGTCTTAAATATAATGGAAAAATAAATAGTAAGCAAACTCAAAGAGAAAAAAAAAACGTTGCAATCGACAGTTCTCAACTGCTCGAAACTCTGAGCCCAGTTTAATCTAAGCCTTAAAAAGTTGTATTTAAATGCTTATAACGAGTTGAAAGAAAGTAGAAGGTGCAAAATTATATTTTTTTAATCAAACAAGGCTTTCAATAGATATAATAAATAAATAAGTTAAATTAATCTGTTTTTTTGTTTTTTTTTTAAATATACAGTCAGTCGCTGCAGCTTAGCTGCGATATATCGATTACTCTAAACTATCGGTTGTCTGCGTGTCAGTTGTGCAGCCCTGGCAACGTCGGCGTCACTTTGCTCTTTGCTTTGCTCTTTAGTTCGCGTTATTTTTAGGCCGCCTAACACAACTTTTTTCACAACGCCAGCGCGCCAAATGTTTTTCTGGCTAAAATAGAAAAAATTCCATCAAAACACGCAAGTTTCCGCTTATAAAACACAACTCACACGTAGCGCTATCAAAATTTTAAGGTTAGACACGTACGCCGCTTACAAAACTCTCGATAAAACAACAAAAATTATGAAATTTACATAAAAAAAAAAAAAGCTGACAGCGTCTAATTAATTCTTTTGTTTTCTGCTTTAGTTAACAACAAGCCAAAGCGTAGCCATTATGCGGCTACTATACGCCTTCGCGCTGATCCTGGCCGTGCGGCTGGCATCGGTTTTTGTGGTCAAGACCTACTACGTGCCGGATGAGTACTGGCAGAGTCTGGAGGTGGCTCACAAGTTGACGTTCGGGTAAGCGATGGCAGGGGGTCCAATCTAGAGTTGGGCGCGGGTGTGACACGTACACGCATGACTCAACGCAAAGATCGGATCGGATAGAAACCAAGCTTAACGGAATTTGATAAAAGAACGAATCTTTAATACTCTTCTCCCCCGCAGCTATGGCTACCTCACCTGGGAATGGGTACGCGGAATACGCAGCTACGTTTATCCGCTGTTAATAGCTGCCGTATATAAATTGCTGGCCCTGCTGCAGCTGGACAGCGCCCAGTTGTTGGTGCTGCTGCCACGTCTGCTGCAGGCCACGCTGTCTGCCTACTCGGATTATCGGTTTTACGTCTGGACTGGCAAACGCAAGTGGGCGCTCTTTTTGATACTCGTGCCCTGGTTCTGGTTCTACACGGGCTCACGCACGCTGGCCAACACGCTGGAGGCCTCGCTGACCACAATTGCCCTCAGCTACTTTCCGTGGTATGGCGAGGGCACCGCCTACTTGTGGCCAGCGGCAATCTGTTGCTTTCTGCGGCCCACAGCGGCTGTCATCTGGCTGCCATTGGCTTTCCATCATCTGCGCAAGAGCCGCTTGTCTGTGCCGGAGCTGATCCTCAAGCGCTTCGTGCTCATTGGGTAAGTACGCGGGAAGGGGTGTTATTGCCGACCCTATCAACAGCTTGTTTATTGTTTCAGTTTGCTGGTGGCCGGCGCCGGCATTGCCATAGATACCTACTGGCATGGTGAGCTGATTGTGACGCCGTGGGAGTTCCTCAAGTACAATGTGCTGCACAACATTGGCAGCTTCTATGGCTCGCATCCGTGGTATTGGTACTTCACTGTGGGTCTGCCCACAGTGCTGGGCATCAATACGCTGCCTTTTATATTTGGCATCATGCAGACCGTGCGACAGGGCAACAAGTTTCCGATTAGCAAACAGCTCTTGATAAGCATATTGGTGACATTGCTGGTGCTGAGCACGGTCGAGCACAAGGAGTTCCGTTTTGTGTCCTCGCTGTTGCCGTTGTGCCTGTACGTGTCGGCGGAGGCGTTGTCACGCTGGAGCTATCGCGCCTCTCGAACTCAACTGTGGGCGGCCGCCTTGGTCATTCTGGTGGGTAACGTTGTGCCCGGTTGGTATCTGAGCACCGTGCACCAGAAGGGACCCATTGAACTGATGCCTAAGCTAAGGGAAATAGCTCAGGAATACCGCGACGAGCGCGAGCATCGCGCCAATATACTCTTCCTCATGCCCTGCCACTCCACGCCCTATTACAGGTAAGCATTGATGCAGTTCTTTAATTAAATCTTAATTATATTAATGCGAATATGCTTGCAGTCACATTCACGAGAATGTCACAATGCGCTTCCTAACCTGTGAGCCCAATCTGGAGCAGCGGGATAACTTTAAGGACGAGGCCGATCGCTTCTTTGATGCACCCATGCACTGGCTACGCTCCCACATACCGGTGCATCCGCTGTCAGCACTGCCCTCGCATCTGGTGCTATTCGATACGCTGGGCGACAAGATCAGCGAGTTCCTAGCCAACTACAAGCTGCTGCACAGCATTGAGCACGCCGAGGTAAACAAACTGGTTGACTCCCAGGCGTTGCTGGACGAGTGGTCGTCAGCGTTGGGAACGCAACTGCCTAATGTCGCGTCTCTCTTGCAGTACGTGCAGTCGCGCACCGGTAAGAGCATTCTGGTCTATCAGCGGCTGGAGACGGGCGAGGAGAATGCATTTAATCGGCAGGAGTATCGGGAGCAGGAGCCTGATCTGCCGCAATCGAGTGAGAACCTGTTCAATTGAATATTGTATTTTTTGCTGGCATTTTATGTAGTTATTATCATCAGTTGTTGCAAATTTTCAAATGTCATTTTCCTTTTAAGTTGTTTTGCAAAGACTTAATGCAACAGTTAGCCCTCCGTGAAAAGCAAACAAGTAACAAATTGAAATTATTAACTTTACGGCCTTAGGAACAGTTTTTAAAACGTTTTCGAAACAAGTTTTGTAGTGAGTGAACGCGTTTTCTTTTTTTGTACTTTTGTGGTAGTTGATAATATTTTTTAACTCAATAGTTTTGTATTAGGCGAAAAATGTCTAAAGTGAGGCAATATATTTAAGCGTAAAGTAATATAATAATTAGTATCATTTTTTAAGTTCTTTGAAATAAAGGTTCAGTAAATTAAAAGAGATTATTTTTGGTTTAAATTTGAAAAAAGATCGATACTTTTTGCATTTGACATGCTCGAGCATGCGTGATCTTATATTAACATAAGTATATTTAATGAATACTATATATATATATATTATAAATTTCTCTATTATAGAAGCTAGCTCATGTGATAAAATGATAAAATATTAAAATAATACAACATATTAAATGATGCGGCGGCATCGATTGACGATGCTTACGCACAGCGAAATAGAGATGTCACCAAAACGATTATTATGTTCAGCGGCAGTAATCGATATATCGGTGTGCTCGAGGCAATATATCGTGTTGAGGGTCAGTGCCGTCGCCGTCGTCTGCATTAATTAAACGCGTTTTAAACAATAAGCTAGTCAGTCCGAGCAATTGCACAGCTTCAACTCGCACAAGCGACAGCAACAGCAAAAAGCACACACACAAACAAAAAATGGCTGCTTCAATGAGAGCGCTGCTGAAAGTGCGAGGTGAGTGAAAAAGAAGAAAAAAAAATCTATTGCGAAACAATTTTAAAACGATGTGTGTGCAAAATTATATAACCGGCAACGATTTGTGGCATGAAAAACACAAACAGAGTCTGCGGCAACAAGTGGCAACAACAACCATAATGGGTTTGGATTAATTGGAAAAAATTAAATGGATTCTCAGGCAAAACGACGTGGCTGCAGCTGCTGCGGCGGCGGGTGTGTGCATATGTGTATGTGTGTGTGTGTGTGCGTGTATGTGGAAAGAAGCAGAACTCGCTGGGGGAGTGGGCCATGTTCAAGGTTCACATGTGACCCGAAAAGTAGAACAAACACAAACAACATTTTGACAATGGACATTTTTCAACACTGTTCTGATCTTTTAACATTTGCATCTTTGCTTCAGATGGCTTCGCTGCCAGCGTTCGCTGCGGCTCGCAGTACAACAAGACGCGTTCTAATCTCAAGCTGAACGGCGACTCCCGTGTCATCTGTCAGGGATTCACCGGCAAACAGGGCACCTTTCACAGCCAGCAGGCGCTGGAGTATGGCACCAAGCTGGTTGGCGGCATTTCACCCAAAAAGGGCGGCACTCAGCATTTGGGCCTGCCGGTCTTTGCCTCCGTTGCGGAAGCGAAAAAGGCAACGGATCCACATGCCACGGTCATCTATGTGCCGCCACCAGGTGCCGCTGCTGCCATCATGGAGGCACTCGATGCCGAAATTCCGCTGATTGTCTGCATCACCGAGGGCGTGCCCCAGCACGATATGGTCAAGGTGAAGAGCGCCCTGGTTAGCCAGGACAAGTCGCGTCTGGTCGGACCCAATTGCCCCGGCATCATTGCACCCGAACAGGTTTGTAGCTGTTGCAGCTGTTGTGTGATGCCTCAAGACAGCAGCTCGAGAGATAAGGCTGATAAGCGTTGGGTGCAAAGTTCATTCGACTAAAGCGATCGCGGGTTTCTTGTTTGTCATACCCTCTTCACAGTGCACCCAAGGGTATATTGGTTCAGTTATCTGATCGATTACTTGGATTATATGCTAGTGAAGGTGCGCGAGAAAAGTCCATTTCAAAAAAGTAGCTGAATGGAATGCTGAAAATAGCTATAAATAGCTGAATAGGCTTTCAAAAAACGGCTAAATTTATTTTAAATATCTGAATTTTGTCAACTATTACACCGTAAACAGGGTATTGTGCAGTCGGCTGCATTCGATGAACCTTTAAACGTGTTTATTTGCCGCTTTATGGCTGTGCATGTGAACACATAATATAAATAGATTTCGACTATGCCCAGCTGGTTCATCATAACGAGCGCACACTGTTCTATGCTGGCATTGTTTATTGGCGCTTATCTCTCGGAGCCTGTGACGCTTGAATTTGTATCCACACATATATAAATATATAGTTATTGATTAACCTGTTTAACCTCCGTTTGCAGTGCAAAATCGGCATTATGCCCGGCCATATACACAAGCGCGGCAAGATCGGCGTTGTGTCCCGCTCGGGCACGCTCACCTATGAGGCAGTGCATCAGACCACCGAGGTGGGTCTGGGCCAGACGCTGTGCGTGGGCATTGGCGGTGATCCGTTCAATGGCACCGATTTCATCGATTGCCTGGAGGTCTTCCTCAAGGATCCCGATACCAAGGGCATCATACTGATTGGCGAGATCGGCGGTGTGGCCGAGGAGAAGGCCGCCGACTACTTGACTGAGTTCAATACGGTAGCATCAAATAATATAAAATCAACTGATCCAAAGGTAATCACATACGATCTCCTTCACACAGGGCATCAAGGCCAAGCCGGTGGTGTCGTTTATTGCTGGCATCTCGGCGCCACCCGGTCGTCGCATGGGTCACGCCGGCGCCATTATCTCTGGCGGCAAGGGCGGTGCCAACGATAAGATTGAGGCTCTCGAGAAGGCCGGCGTTATTGTGACCAGAAGTCCTGCCAAAATGGGTTACGAACTGTTCAAGGAAATGAAGCGTCTGGAGTTAGTTTAGAGTTAAACCAAAACCAAAATTGAACAAAATGTGACAAAAGAAAAAGCCGAGGTACCACAAGTACGACTCAGATGAAGAATTATGCAAAGCAGTAAAGATGATTAACTAAATTAAGCAAAAAGTGTCTGGAGAAGCGAACACAAACAAATAACTAAATGAATTATGTCGAAATCCTAAATAAATTATTGTATAATTCGCCCAAATGTGAAGTGACTACGAAAAGTATAAAAACCAACGATCTGAACAAACTGTGCTATGTATTCCATAAAAATAATCTAATTAACTGCCGTACCACCTTTATATATATATATATCAAAAGTTGAAGAAGTTAAAGCAAATGCACCGCGCACCTAAGATTCGAATTATGTTGTTGCACTCGCTTTGAATGCACTCAGAAAAGTCACCCAATCTTATTTGAAATATGCTTTAAACGAATTTGTTTACAAAGCTAACGTTCACGCTCGAAATAAATGTTGTAAACATGCAAAATAAAAATTGCATTTAAAATTGGTTTTAAAATATAATAACATAACAGTTGCAAATAACAGAGTGCACTTAAACAGAAAATGTTATGCGAGTCCGTGCTGTTAAGTTGAGGAGCATTACTGTTAAGTAGTGAGTAGATTTCGTTAGTGCACTTGTTATCGATACTATCGTTGGCAGTGCAGCTCTACCCCAGCTGTTTCCATATAACCCACCAGAATTTTGCAACACTTGCACAGCAAGCGTAAAAGAAAAAATTTCTTTGTGCAATTTACAAAACATTTCGTGTGCACCGTGCGTAACAAACTATAACAAATTAAAAGCCGTGTGTGTAAAGCAGCAGCAGGCTGCAACAATATACCAATCAAACGCCAATCAAACACAAACAACAATAAACACAATCGCAGCAGCCAAAAAAGAGACCCAGCCATAAATCAACACAATGCCAGTGTGCAAATCGCCTGCTGTAGCATCTCAAATGGGCAGCAGAACTGAAAATGGTGAGTATCGAACGGTATTAGTGCATAAACAAATACAAACACAGATGCAACTGTACAATTGCAATTGTCTTTTGTTTGCCATTCTTTGCGCATATGTATACATATATATATTTAATTATCAATTTATTACATTTCGTTGTTATTGCTGCTCATTTGCGGCGTTTTTAAGTGCCGGCTGCCTTTTGTTGTAGTCGGCCGCATAGCTTGTTTCCAATCTTTGCGATTTCTCCAACTGCAGCTCGGCCCTGAGCCGGCAAAATTTGCCCGTCTTGCTGCGATTGCCATAGCTGAGCATCAGATCTCGATCTTCCATCTTGGTCGGCACACTGCCGCTCTGCTCCACAGCTGCCGTCGCACGGGCCTGCTGCTTGGGCACAATCTCGTACAGGATCGTATAGGTTGTTGTGTAATTGCTGCTCATATCCTTGGTCAGGGGGAAACGCACTTGGCACTGCCTGTTCCGTTGGTGATTGTTCAACGATTCGTTGCGTGCGCCCAGAAAGTTTCGCGTCGAATCGTCCGCATCCTCCAGCACAGCGGACGGCACATAGTTATCCTTGATTTCGGTTATGTGCTTCTCGCACGCATCTATACGCTTCAGTCCTGGCAATATGCAATCGTTCTTCTCAGCGCTGCCCAGGCGCAGCTCCTGCCAATTGGCCAGCAGCACCTCCTTGCCATAGTTCTTGCTAATGCGCTCGTCAATGTACGAGCCCCGCGGCAGCAAACTAAACATTTTCTAATTTCAGTGGATACAACAGTTAAGAAACCTAATTCGCGTATAACTAGGACTTGCAAATTTAAGAGAAAAAAAAAGAGATATATAAAAAAAACTATAAAATGTAGTAAATATTACATTTCGAACTTTTAACACATGACTAACAACTAAATTTTAAAATGACATCACAATTATACAGAAATATTCAAATGACAAGTATTTTAGTTAGGCAGTTCCGTAGATTTTGGATCTTATGGAGCATATTTGCAAATTTATTAACTTGATCCTTATATGCAATGCTTAAAAGGTGGCAACGCCATAATGAACGGTTCTATTGTGAACAAACATGCTCCAAGTGTTGCAAAACATATTAATTATTGTTTTTTTTGTCGTTTACTTCCTTTTTCGCAGTGGCGTTGCCAGAGTTTTGTTTTCGACGCAGTTAAGTTGGCTGCGCCTTGACCACGCTTTATTTAGTTGATGCTGAAGTGGGGTAAACCCATTTCTAGTGACTCACGACTGCGCTTCTCCCTTGTACTATATTATAGTAATCATATGTATGCCAAGATCTGTCAAATCATCAGCAAGGTATATTGTCATGCCCATTTCCAGACCTTTGATTATATGGCTCTTCCTTGAGGTTTTTGTCTTGATTCTTTTATTGGACGAACGCTAAAGTTGTTGTAGTTTTAGAAATATATTTGTTTGGGTTGAAAATAGATACGGAATGGATCTCGGTGCGTTTTTGTACGCCATTGTTGGCGTTTTTCGAGTGGGTTTTTATTGAAAATCTATTTTGTGAAATAAAAACGAACCGAGCCACCAGGCCTGGCGGCAGGGCCGTCAGTTCGCATTCATTGCGTCGTGATCATTTCGTTGGTGTTGTTCTTGCCCTCTTCTTCTTATACCCTGTACCCATTGGGAATACGTGAAAATGGGAGGTATTATCCGTTCTTGAAGTTTATTTTCGGGTGTTCAAGGTATGCGTACTCTTGATCTGGAGCTTGAGCTGAGTCAATCTTTGAGACTTTGAGAGTTGAATACTTTTATTTTTATATGCAAATGAGTAATTTCCTTCTTTCTTTTTTGATATACATATTTGCAGTTTCTTGTATATTATTTGGAGCACAAAATTCTTTAAATTCTTTTATTGCTTATCTCTCCGAATCGATAATTATCGATTTTATAACCTGGGCTTTTGGAGCATATTACTGAAATAAAAAGAACTTAAGACTTTAAATTTAATTTGTTATGCATATATGTGTATAGGTTCTCCTAGATCATATCAGGAACATTGCTTATAATTTATCGATAACTCTAGTTATCGGTTCGAATAATCGTTTTGAGCCTATGTTCCTACAGTAGACGCCTAGGAAGGATGAAAAATACATCCTAAATCATAAATGAAGAAAGATACAGCTTTTATTTTTGGTATAAACATGAATGTGAATATTTTCTTTAAGGCCTGACAAATTAGTAAAAGCAATGAGCCATAAATACAATAAGTTTTTCTTAGTGAAATACTCTCGTAGTGCAACACAGAGTGAAGAGAGAGAAAGAGAGAGAGAGATTGTGCTACAGGGTAACTGCTAGTCGTGCTTTTACTTAAGCATTCTCCCTTGTATTTGTTGCTTTTTGTTGTTGTTGAAATAACCCGGGCAAAGCAACGGCATTACTTTTGGCTAGCCCAATGCCTGGCTATGCTAAATACACATGTATATATGTGTATATATATGCACCTATATCTTGTGGTATATACAAAGCCGATATTTACGCTGAACATAACTGAAACAGACAGCACGCGTTGCATGCCGCAGTCTGTTGCAGTTGCAAATGCTGTTGTTCAGATGATGCTATAAACGAAATGTCGTCGTCATCCCAATTGTTATGGTTCATTCTCTAGTTGTTGTTGTTGCGCTCGGTTTCGCTTCGTTCGTTCGTTTTTCTGTTTACAAAATGCACAATTTTTACTTGAACACAACATTGTTTTTTTTTCTTTTCTTTCTTGTTCTGTTGTGCGCCCAGAAATGTTGAGAATTTGTGTAAATTAATTTATGAGTTTTTTCACGCCACTTTATTTTATTTGTTACACTTTTCTACAGCATGTACTTTGTATTTGTATATTTATTTATATACTTGTATCTATGCGTATAATTTAATGAATCTGTGATAAGATCTTTGATTTGGCGCAAGTCTCAAGGCAGAATTTACACACACACACACACACACACACACACGTCTGCGTATTCTATTTGAACAGGCCCCCAGGCGGGGCAGGCAGCTGCCTCTTTGCATAATTCATAACTCCCGCAGGTGCTGCCAGTAGCTGTAGCCGAAGGGAATGAAAGGGGGAGGTCAGCTGGAGGTGGGTCACACAACAAAGCAGCAATCAAATGCGCCCTCGTGTGCCCCCTCGTGTATGCAACAACATTTTGTATGCCAGAGGCATGCAAAATACTCGTGAGGGGCATCTTGGGCTGGCTAAGCTAGTTTGCCAGTGTTGCAAAATGCCTGAGTAGAGTTTGGTGTGTTGAAAAGTGAGTTTAAGAGCAGGAAGTTGAAAGTAAGTCTTAAGACTTTTGGGTAAATTGATAATCAATTTAAATTTACCTCACAATAAGTAAAATTATGATCAAAGGTTTGATTTGTTTTAACTAGACGTTTCTCAACACTTAAAAAGCTAAGTTTTTATTTATGTCTTAAATGGTTTTCCAACACCTTTTGCTTTTTCAGACTTAATTCACTTAATGAAAAACAACTAACTTAATCCATTTTAAGTTAACCTCGCCTTAAGCCTTTATAATATGCTCGGCATTTGCAATCGTTTACAGGACATCTTTCTGAGTCATCTCAGCAGCCAGGCCCGATTCATATGCTTGTCTCTGATGTGCTTAGCTGGCGTTTTATGCTCTTTGAGAGCCTGACAGGACACCAGCACGCGCAGCCACCCGCACATTTCAACTTGTGTCAGCTAAAAAACAAGGCAGCATGATTGCAGCTGTAGCCTGGCCTTTGCCAGGACGAAGAAAGCCACGCGCTCGCAACACACACATACATATAAGCTGCATAATCTAGCTGGTTTAGTGGATGGCAAGGGGTGGTTCAGGGGGACGGGGGAGGGGAAAGGCTGCTGTGGAGGCTTGTCCTTTCAGGCTGAACACGCGCGACGCTTAAAGTGAATGTCGTGTCGCTTGTCTGTTGTGTCTCTTGTCTGGGTCAAGCGGTAAAGTGAAAGCAACAACAACAACAACAAAAACAACAACAACAACAAGAAGCAGCAGCAAGTGCTATTTGGTTGTTGTCCTTGTTTTCACTGCCGCCTTGTTGACACCTTTCACGGCCGACGAATTAATTAAAGTGCCCCCGAGGTGTTTGTCGTAAAACATTTAGCATTTTAATTGCGTCATAAAGGCAGCAAAAGCATAGCGCGCATTTCGTGCCCTTTGACATTTGACGCCTAATTAGATGAGATTAGTTTGGTCAGGCTGGAGGTGCGTCCATT